TTCGCTTGGCATGGGTTTCCCCCGCCCCCCCTCCAAAATATTGCCCCCCCCCCCCCCCCCCGTCTTCCTTCTCGGTCCCTTTTTGTGCCGTTGAGGCCGGCGTGTAATGCGACCTTGCCGATGTGGACGCCGCGCAGCGTTACAGTTAAATGATCTTCCCAGACTTCGATGCAGGCTTCTTTTGCAATTGTTGAGTGAGGGGTTTTTCAGTGAGGCCTTGCGGGCACAGGACATGTCTTCGCTAAACTGTGTGCCTTCTTTCCAGCCTTTGTGCTCAAACCGCCTGTAAATCATGGCACACAAAAATTTCAAGAGGATTCATAAATCGAGGGCCCCCTTGTCTCCGTTTTGTCACACTGACAAAACAGTGTCAAGGTCGGATTGCTGGTTCTGTATACAGACAGTATAGGGCTTCGGGCGCGGGGTTCTGAAGCCAAAACAATCATCTATAGAACTCTCGACAAGTTCATCCCCTGACAACCATGACAACAAAAGTCTCTGTCGGCTGTGCCCCGGTCAAATGGAGCTGCTGAATTGAGCTGCGCGTCTGGGCTGCCAACAACAGCGCAGAGGCACCTCGAGCATCTTCCTCGAGAGACACGTTGTATTTGGGCCCTGGATTATGCGGATTGCTAGGATTTTCCAGGTAAAGGCCCGCAATATGTTTCGGCTGGTTGTGCGTCGTGGGGATCACGAATTGGGCCTCATCGTTCTGATCGAAACAATCCCTGAAACACGCGGCAGCCGTGCGAAACAGACCCTACTCCAAAAAGCAAGGTTGTTTGAGATGTTAGGGGCCCCCATAGAAGCCCGAGTCGACGAACCCAACCTGAAACTCTAAATATTGGGTTTAGCCAAGTGTTTATGCTGCAACCCCACTTGCAAGATTCCCCACCTGGTCGACATCAGCATCTGCTTGAATGAGCGTGAAAGCCGCCTCACGAAGAAAGGACACATCAGCCAAGCTCGACGGGGGCGATGTGAGCTCCGCTTTAAGAGAAGCTATTGAATGTATTGCCTGCGACTGCACTTTAGGAGATGGGTTTGTCGCGCATTGGGACTGATGCTCTACGTGTTGAGATGTTAGGGCTGAGTAAGGGTCTCCTTCTCAACCTTCGGGTCTGGGAGCCTAGGCAGTTTGGCGTTGGAGCCTGACAGATCCTGATAAGTTTCACGTGAAGCCATACGGCTGATCGTCACGTAGGTCAGGCAAAGAGGGTGTGGCATCAGAAGGGGACGAACTCTGTCCAAACCCTACCTGGCCAAGGGCCGCCAGGCCTTGGAAATGGGATACCTCTCCGTCCAAACCCTCTGCACTCCTTTCAGGGTCTCTTACGCAAGAAACGCTGGGCATCAAAGCAAATAGCAGGCATCGTTCCTGACGTTGTTGCCAGGTCTGCGGTTGTTGCGTTGTTGCTATGGAAGCAATGACAAGTTGACAATTCTACTGCCTGTTGCTACTGCTTGTTTTTCTTCTTGCTCTCATTTCATCTCATTTCCGCAGAAAGCCTTCATGTGCCCTGCAGCACAGGCTGCATGCAGCGGAGGCATCCCGTTTCCATCAGGAGCGGCTCTTGCTCGAAGTAGCGAGCGAATAGCTCTTCCCTGGCCGCAGCGAGCTGGGCCGCTGCTGGGTTCCGGGCTGCTGCGCTATGCAGGTTTTTATAACCAAAAGTTTTGCTAGGGTTCGCAAGGGAGTTTCAGAAGACAACAAGCTGATCTTCAGTACTCTGGGATTCTGGGATGTTTAGGCTACTTAGCGGCTACTTGGGTTTGGGGTTTAAGGTCAGGGCCTGTAACAGTGTACTTACGGAACGAAGCCATGCTTGGAGCCTGAGTTCTGCACGTTCCCTTCTGAAGATTCTACACGTGCGCCCCGGTATCGGAGCCTAGCCGGTCTGCAGCAAATACGAGAGGGGCTTACTCTGCACAACCACCGAGGCTCCTCGAATAACTTTTAACCATATCGCTCACTTCGCGAGCCTCAAGCAACCGTTCAAGCTCTGTGCGGCTTCAAATCCTTCAGCCCGGAAGACTGAAGACTGCCCCTTTGAAGGAATGGGGCTCGCAAATCTTAAACCTCGGTACTTCAGTCCAGGCCGAGCTGCATGGTTCAAGGAGCTTGCTGCCAGAAGGGCTCGCTGCTTGTCCTAGAGAGCTCATCACTCGCACTAGCAGCGAGGAAAACCCGCAGCTTAGTCATGGATGGAGGCATTTAGAGCAAGATTTCCATCTCAAAAAGATGAAAGCATGTTCAAGTCACACGCAAACAGGAGAGTCAAATAAAAAGCTAAACTTTGAACGAACTCTACTATAGTTTCCTCAGACAACCTATCTGTCTTGCTCGCGGGGAAGTTTCCAGGCCACGGTCAATCATGTGGCTCACTGCTTTGACGTCGCCGTGGCGGGCGGCCTCCGGGTTTGGGGAAGTCTGAGGGTGTCGGTGCAATGGGCGGGGGATGACAACTGATGAATACCTCTTGACAACTTGACGTCAAGCTGGGAGCTCTTGTGGCTTTGAGGTGTCTGATCCTCACACTACGTAGCCAGACCTCCCTGGCGAAACCCTCAACCCGCCCACATCCTGTCTAATTTCTGCGACTGTCACTTGAAGCTTTAAGGCTTACGTAAGGTCTTGTAGATTTGGGCTGGAACCGGCTTCCAACCGCTACGCCCACAGCTTGAGGGCCTTCTCTAGCGCTGCAAGAGCTTCAAGTTGAAAGCCCCACACTTGCGTGGATGAAGACCTTCAGTGCCTGAGAGTTTGATTCTCCCTCTGAGGCAATGATGATGAACACTGCGAGCCAAAGTGTGAATGAATTTGGGGAGCCCGATTTCGTGTCAGACAACTGCCATGCACGTTTTGGCTGCTGACCATGTGTGCCCGTCGTTCCACGGGCTGCTGCGTCGAAACCCACCAGAACTCCGAAGGAGACTCACGCCAGGCCGGCTGAGGAAATTTGGGAGACTTTAAAATGGAATTCGATTGATCATTCTCCTGAGCCTTGTGGGCTGTTTGCAGCTTTCTCTTACAACTCCGTCTCCAAGTTCAGGTGCCTCCAACAGCAACAGTAGGTCGGGTTCTTCCTTGGTGATCTGCACGAAGCTGCCACCTTCGTCAATAGAGGGAGTTCATTGTCCAGAGTTCGGGGCCGGGGCTGCTAGCGGAAACCAAGGTCAGACTCGACGGTGAGTTTTCGCTGCATCCTATGTCGCTGAAGTGGCGTAGCCTCGGACTCTTGCAAAGTGAGCCAACATGAAGTTCCGTTGCCATTGGGTGCGCCCTGTGCAGCGAGAGGCCCTTCAAATCAAGAGCCTCGTTGATTTATTTGACATGCGTTCGTTCGTGTCGTAGCAAGCGCAACTGAATTCTTTCGACCTGCAGAAGGTGGCGAGGCAACATGCTTGCCACGATAACCTGGACCCCTGCGAGCCCTATACGTGCCTCGACAGACTGAAATGGACTTGCTGAGGACTCGCCGCGTTGCCTGCTTTAGGGTTCAGAGCCTAGTAGCAGAACTCTGGTTCAACCCCACGCGGCCCAAGCTCACTTATGACAGGCAGAGAAGACCCTCATCGTTGGGGAACCCTGCTGTAAATCCAAGGCTACGCTGCCTTCGCAAGCATGCTCCTTGGAGAAGTACGTAGTGTGGTTTTCGCATTGGACACCCATTCCCCGCGCATGCACAATTCCATGGCAAGCAACTCTGGCCAGGCATGCAGCATCCCGCAGGGTTATATTGGTTGATATTATACGATTCTATCGAACTCAGAATGCAGAATCAATTCCACTCGGTCGACATTGCCCTCTCAGCAACCCGAGTGCCACGAAGATCATCTGCTTAATCCCTTCACCCATTTATAAACAGTATGGCAGTCTCTTTATTAAACGCCTCCGAATAATAAACCGCCTTCCGTGAACTCCACCCGAAACCATCCGCGCCTTTTAATACCTGTTTTGATTGGGCCTGGAATGAGCTTGGGATTTGTCTTTTTGAATCTTGCTTTTTTCCCGCGGCGGCGGCGGTGGCGCTCGGCGAGCCGGCGGAGACGGCAAAAGCGGGGTCTTTTACCAGAGGCTTCTGTTTTGCGTCAAGCTCTTGGGGGATGGCAGGCCATGCATAGAAGCAGGTTCGCATGGCTGAAAAGAGAAGGGGGTTGGGGGTGCGCGGCTCCTGCTTTGCATCAAGCTATTGTGGAATTACAATTTGCAGGGACTTGTTTATGCATCAAGCTATTGGGGATTACAATTTCCAGACTGCTGTCTTGTGTTGAGCTACTGGAGACGTACCATTGAAGTTCCACCCTTTGCGTGCGAGGGGTCGGCTTGACGGTATGTCAAACCATTCATACAATACTGGTTTAAATTAAACGATATGGTACATGGTATTATAGTGACAGCACCCCAACCCCATTTGCAAACACAACGCTCACATGATTGAGCTCATGTCCACTGATGGCAGGCCTCTCTTTAAAGCAAATTCGCATTGTTTGTGAAAGGCTTCAAGAAGGCATGTCCACTGATAGCAAGCAATTCTTTCAAGCAAGTTCGCATGGCTTGAAATTGAAAGAGCAAGGGGGTTTGGGAGGGGGGCGGAGCCTCCGCGGGCGAGGGGGCGACTGGCCCGCTATGTTATATAGTCAACACTATCCAGCTAAAAAGCCAAGAAGTTAGGATGCTGCGAAGCCATGCAAGCGTTAACGCCAAGAAGGAAACGGCAAAGGCCAAAAAGCCTGAGCCAAGAAGCCCAAAAGCCAAGGAAGCCAAGAAGCAATAAAAAAACAAGAAGTCAGGATGCTACGAAGCCAGGAAAACGGCAAAAGCCAACAAGACAAGAGGCCACGAGACCGTAAAAGCCGAAAGCACAAAGACGCAAACCAAAACAACAACAAATCCCAAAACACAGAACACGAATTCCAGAAGAAAATACACCTCCTTTTGAATCCTTTTGAATTAGAGCAAGAGCACGAGCAAGAGCAAGAGCAGAAGCAAGAGTTTTGGCAGGAGCAGTAGCAAGAGACGCAGCAGGAGCTGGAGCAGGAGCAGGAGCCACAGCAGGAGCAAGACCCTTCTCGATATGACATTAGTCGTGATAGAAAACACACCCCAATAATAGGAATAATTCTATTTGCAAGTATCAAGATGATAATGATGATAGCAATAAGAAGAAGAACACTTTTCGAGTTTTTATTAGGAGGGGCCCCGCCAAGGTAAACATTAAGGCGAGGGATGAATTGCATCTGGCGCATGTTTAGGACCCAAATAAAACCCAAACCTAGGTACGTCTGGACTGAGGTGGGTACAGCTCCATCCTCGCTTCGCCGTCGCCCTTCGGCCAGTGCCATCCGAATTTGGCTCATTTCTCAGATGCCCTGGCCTGGATTTAAAACGTAGGGTTTTACATGTAGGACTTCCTTGCGGTACTGGTTTGTCGAGTTGGGCTGTTCAGCAATGCTCAATCCTCTGCCAAATCCCGTCGAGCGTTCCAAACGGCGGCAGACGTGTTCTTCTTTTTTTCTCATAGCTGCGAGCGCTGCTTACAAAACAAAACTAAAGTTCGCAGTCTTGGTGTATGCATGCAGCTCAACCATAGCACACTACAAGCTGCAGAGTTCAGGGTCCCCTCACCTCGTCACAGACTGCATCTTCGGATCGGAGCGGGCATGGTACCTCCCAGTACTCTCCGGATGAAGTCTTCATTTCCAGAGAGCCACATTGGGCAATAATAAGTTGGTTCTTGAGGTCTCAAGCCCTTCCAAACCAACCATCGTTTGAGTCGGCTAGCATTCATTGCAAAAGAACTCCCATTGAACATAGGTCTACATCCCACAGCTTGCACGCGTAGCGGGAACCGTCAGCTGCTGCTCTTGTGGTTGCATGAATCTACAGCTTCGAAGGGACGACGATCGCGAGTTCAGGGCTTTTGTTTTAATCAAGTCTTCTTGGCAAAGCGCTATTGATTCCCACACCTACTCCCAAAAGGCTTCTTCAAGCTGCAAGCCGAAAGGTGGTAGCGCACCGAGAGGAACCAATTCGAGACCTCTGCACTGGGGCGCTGGTCACTTGGCCTGTCAGCTGCGTGAGCACTTGGGTCTTGAGGGCTCGGCAGGGTTCCGGTGTTGGCGCAAGTAGGTTCTCGGCCTCAAGGTTGCATATTATGAAGCAAGAGAGAAACCCAAAAGCAGAGCCCTTGCGCCCTAAATCTGAAGTCTACCAGCGTAGATATGGCACACCGCATGCGGGCCGATCAGGACGACCGCGACCACGACAAATACCAGGAGGTCACGGAGAGATCACCAGGAGACCAGCCGGTGGCCACACGGCTTCCCCATGTACTGGCGGGATTCAGTTTGTTGGAAATTACAATGGAGCACCGGAATCTGTAAATAATTCGGCATGGTCGCAAAATATGCCAGGCACCACACCGGGAACCTGTTCCCACTGGGAACCACCACGTTCCAGCAGGCGCACCTGCCACACGCGCCTCGCGGTCGTTCTAACCAATCCTCTCCACAATGAGCGCAGTGTGTACCACTCTGTTTGGGGAAAGACAACATCCAAAATAAAACCCGCAACCACGAAACTCGCAGATTCTTCTCACCTACATGAATCAGCAGATCTCGAACTTGCAAGAGCTGAAGCCTCTGCAGCCTATGCCAATAGAAACAAATGCATCCAGCGAAGGCTTTGGGCCTTAAGCTCGCAAGTCAGAGTCTTGCTTTGCATAGCGGCCTCTCTTTCGAAGGCTCTGCCACCGGCGCCCCTGCCAGCTCCTGGCCATGATCGAGGAAGACGGCTGTTGGGATTTCAGCCGAACGAAGCTTTCCTGTGGTGGGCTTGTGCCTTCGTGGCCTAAGTCGTAAGTTTTAAATTTCAGGTTTTGGATGGAGGGCCTCGTAGCGCAAGGCAGTGGGCTACGGTTTACAGCAAAGTTTAGCTTAGTCATGCTTAGTCTTGGGCCGGCAGCTTTCTGAAGCCGCACGAAAGCCCAAGCCGAAGAGCCAGGAACCGAGGACAGTGATCCTGTCCAGCCAGATGCTACTCAACATACTAAACCCCCGATCAAACTACCAAGTCAATAACCGAAAAGCCAAAACTACGGCACTCTTACCCCTGCAAGTCCCAGATCCGAGCCCTGAACCCGAGAGCTACATCCCCGGATCCGTCAGGCCTTCGCCGAGCTGAGTGCAGAGAGCTGGGCCAAACCTTTGCCTTCGGCTAGAGTTGAATTCTGTTCGGACTTGCAGTTCTTTTTCGTCGTCCGAGCTTAGGGTTTGCATGATGGTTTGCGACAGAGGGCTGACTGCCTGTAATTTTTGGGCACCGGGACCGAAGATGCAAACAGGCTGTGCTTAGCATGCAAGTTGCAACCTCGGGCATAGAGAGCAGCTGAAACCTCTATAGATGTCTCTCTCGGCCTAATACCTGGAAGCTCTGCGCCTTTACCATCGAGACTTAGAACTTGCAGCTGCAAGGCTTGAGCTACAAAAGGGTTGCCGGGCAAGTGGCCAGACAGATTGCGTTTTACCTCCAGGACGTTCGCCACGGCAAAGACAGTGTCCTGCACCGTGGGAAGCGGTTGGGAGCTGTGCTAGTGCAGCTAGCGAGAGATGCAAGGTGTAGAATCCTAAGTCCAGCAGAGCCCCTGTGTAGGCTTCACAAATCGGGTACCAACTCCAAGCACACCAAGGTTGCGCAAGCACTGCGCAAACTCTGCACTTTTGCTTCAGAACTCATGCTCAAAACTCATTGCAACGCTAAGACAACTGAAAAAGTCGTTATCAGATATCAATAGTGACCGGCAGCCTGGAACACCTCCTTTGCGTCATCTCCACAGCTGTGGCCTACAGCCTGACAGCGTCAGAGTCTCAGGACTGTAGATCTGCTAGGGTTGAGAAATTCTACTGATTTAGGATTTCGGTGTGTCGGGATTTACGTGTGCCTCCTGAATCATATGTACCGTGCTTCTGTTTGCAGCCTCTGCAAGAAGAGGTCATGTATCAAAATGTCAACAATTCAGATTCTACAGCAAGTCAGATTCGACACAAGTAGACATGACATGCAGGAGCCTCGGCTTCATGTTGTTAGCTTTGGGCCTTCGTTGGCTTTGGGGCTTTGGATGGGTGCGGAGCTTCCAACTTCCAAATTACAGCGTTCGGGTTCAACATACCGAAGGCAGTACGGGGCTGGTGTTCATTTACAAAAGGTTGCTTGGGATTGTGTAGTCGTCTTGCTATAATATTTACACTGCAGGAATACTGAAACCCTCAATGCATGCACACCTTGAGCCGTATGCTCTCAAATGGCGATATCTTCAGCAATTACAACTACAATTTTTCTGTGGCAAATCGAAACTTCCGCAAAAGCTCAGCCTGTCCGAACACTGTACACTGAGGTCCTCTCCTCAGCGGAAGTCTCTGCAACGCCCAGTGCCACGTGGCCGGTGGCAGCTTCCACAGCCTTCAGCATGAAGCTACACGGTCGCACGAAGTTCAAGCTCTTGTTTGACGTTGGAGATGGAGGTCAAGGCTTCAGAGTTTCCACTGCAAAGCTGTTCGCATAGTGACTTCGGCACTTGGGGTAGCTTTCAGAACAGCCTTGAGGCCTTGAGGCGACACAGCTAAGAGCTCAGGCCCTCAAGGTTCAGGGCCGAAATTTCAAAGTCGTGATTTAGGACCCTGAATCTACGAGCTGGGGTTCGGTCACTGGCAGCAGCTTCAGGATGGAGCAGGGTTGAAGGAATGAGAGAATTCAAGGTATGGCAAGTGGGAGATGACATGAAAGCCTGCAGAATGCCCACATTGTGGTGGTCTGAATTGGGCATGAAATTGTATACTGCACAGGTGCGAGAATGTCCATGCGTGCCAGATGTTGTTGCATGATCCGTTCGTCTTGATAGCATGGATAGGGCCGGGGCTTGAAAGACCTCGGCGCCAGCTTTCAGGGAAGAGCGGCCGATGACGCGGAGATCTTCGTGCCTTCGGAGGAATTGTCGTTTAGGGTTGAGGGAAGGTTCGGGGACTGACCGGCTCCGAGTTTAGAGTGTAAGTTTCAGGTGTAAGGCTGTGAACTACAAATGCAACCGTCGAGGAATTCAGCCTATCAAGCTTTCTAGTTACAACGTACGGCCAAGCACAGTCCGACCAATAATCAACGTTCCCGACGAAAACTCAGCTACGAGAAATCGTTGAGGTCCTTTTCGGACACGAAGGCCAAGGCTGGAGTCTCTCTGTGTACTGGGATTCCATTGCCCCGGATCCAAATCGCACAACCTCAACCTGGTATCCTTGCACAGCTTTTCTCAGACTGTAGCCCAGCTAAGTTCTTGGCACCGAAATATCTGGGACTCCTGAACTCCGAGCCTGGTGACTTGACAAAAGGATGAGTTACGACTTCGGGCAATGCCTTCTGGACCTGGATTGCCATCCCAGACTATGGCGCAAGGTTTGCGAGCAATAATTTCCGTTTGAGAGCCTTTCTGTATGGCAGGCCGGATCTTTAAGATTCCTGGATGAAGGCATAGGGGGTGCACAAGGGTTCAATGCTGGGGCATGAATGTTTGGGATCAAGACTGTGTTTTCAGCATAGCACCTCCAGGGTACCAAATCTAACAATCCCTTCGAGGTCTGCCCGAAGCATGGACCGGGAGATGGACCACCGTTCGGAGTTTGCCGGTAGCTCGCGGCAGAGTTGCCCGGCCTGTGGCAGACAGACTTCTGTAGGTTTACAGGGCCGTTGACATTTGCTCCCTACATGCAAGAAAAGGCTTGCGCAGCCCGAAACGCGACGCCTCAAAGGTGTTGAAATCCCTGGTGTAGTCTAGGGCCTAGTGAAGCACAAATGTCATGAAAGTGCCGGCCATTAATTGGTTCCCCCAGTCCAAACATATCCCAACACCCCTGGTTCCTCTACCATTCATTCTTGAAAAAGAAGCGCTACAGCCTTCAAATGCCTTCAGACTACATGCCCCCCGTAACTTTGAATCCTATATACGTGAAAGCCACGGCTTGGGTTGCGGGCCGTGTGCCCGACGACAGAAGCCAAGTGAAAGGCCAAATCTCCGGCCAAGGATGCCATAGACCTCATTCATGGATAATGGTTTAGACGTCCGATTTCGGAAGGTGCGCATGGGAATTACAAGTCTACGAACGAGCTTCCCATCTCTCAAGATTTACCCAAAGGTGAAAAACCTTTCCTAATCATCTCTGAGTCCGGTGCTCAAAATTTTTGGGGGCCCTTTCAAGCTCCCAAGTCTGACAGCTCGGAACATGGATCTCGAACCGTCTACGCTCGTAACTTGCAGGGCGTGATCCACACCCAACTTGCAGAAGCTAGCTATGCGGCTTTCACGAGATCCAAAGCCACGAATCAGCTCATTGCCGCTTCTTCTCCCACGAGGCGCCACTTTGTCAACAACAAAAATAATCCAACTCGCAATGGGGCTGTGGCTGGCTCACGACTCGGGCCCCAGAGGCGACTTCTCTTGCTGCGCCGGGGACCTACAGCAATTTCGGTGTCAGGAATGCAGGGCTTGCATTCTTGCCAAAGCTGCGCCTGTGTTCGTATGGTTCCTGATAGATCGGTGGGGTCTGTCGGGTTTAGATTTGACGCCTTGGCTTGCAAAACTGTCGATGTCAAGCCGCTTCGGGGTTTACTCCGTGTGTGCGTATGCCCGTATGATTGTGCCGGTGTGCTTGTGCATGCTCATGACGAGATCAAACAAGTGCTCTGAAAGTAAACATAACTAAGCCAACCTGCCACTGGACGTGCAAAATGCCCGTCCAACTCTGAACCTGTAGGTATCAACAATTGCTCGTTTCCCCAGAGCACGGTCAGCCAATTTTGATATCCACCCGAAACCGTCGACAAAGAATTCGGCAGAGCCCTAGCGCCAAAACCTTTTCAACACTTTGGACTTCAAAGTTGTGTTCCTGGACATTCAGATCTGTCCAAACATATCCAAACGCTTTATATCCTCCCGACTTCGTGAGTGCGTGTGCTTGTGTGTGTGTGTGCGATTTGGTGCGCCTCGAAGCGGCCTTCCGGGAGCCTCGGGATGCTTCTGTGTTCAGGAATTGAGGAGCGAGTTTTGGTCAGGGGTTAAAGCCCTTCGGCTGAATTTGTTGTGCGTCATTTTGTACTGCAAGGTGGGGTCAAGCAAGAAGTCAAGTTTCAAAGGGTTCGCTATACAGTTGGTGGGGTTTTCAATTGCAGTTGCAGTTGCATGATGTACAAACACAGTTCCAACTGTGACGCCTGCGAATTTTAGAATTGCAGGGTTAGCGTGTCGGGTTGAATGCTGTCAGGACACCGTTACAACTACTAAACATCCCTCTCCCAAACGGCATACCAATTTCAACATGCGAACCACGTTGCACTCTTCTGTGCCAACCCCATAAACTTGTCATAATTCCGAGCGCAGCGCATGCCCCGAACATCGCAAGCCTTCAGGGACTGCGTGGCTGCCTGGGGCTTTGGGGTTTTTTTCTTTCGGTGGAAGACCGTTTGGTGGATGTACACATAGTCTCCCGACTCCCACCACATGGATGCACCCTGCACCATGCCTGCGCCACGCCAAGTATGGAGCCGGCCAACAGTCGACTGCCTGCCTGCCCGTATGTAAATGTTTGCAGTGCAACGGCAACCGCAGCAGCAGCAACAGCAGCAGCAGCAGCAGCAGCAGCAGCAGCGGGAGCAGCAGCAGCAACCACCACCACCACCACCACCACCACCACGACCACGGATGGTGCAGTTGTAGTAGAAGTCGTCGTCGTAGTAGTAGTAGTAGTAATAATAGTAGGAGTAGTAGTACTGGCAGAAGTAGTAGCAGCAGCAGCAGCAGCAGCAGCAGCAGCAGCAGCAGCAGCAGTAGTAGTAGTAGTAGTAGTAGTAGTAGTATGTGGTAGTAGTAGTAGTAGTAGTAGTAGTAGTAGTAGTAATAATAGTAGTAGCAGAAGCAGTAGCAGTAGCAGTAGCAGTAGCAGTAGCAGAAGTAGTAGAAGAACTAGTAGTAGTAGTAGTAGTAGTAGTAGTAGCAGCAGCAGTAGTAGTAGTAGTAGTAGTAGTAAAAGTCGTAGTAGTAGTAGTAGTCGTCGTCGTCGTCGTAGTAGGAGTAGGAAGACGAAGAAAACGAAGAACAAAAAGCCAAACAACAATAATAACAACAGCAGCCAGTGATAGCTCTCATGCGCATCAAACATCGGCAGTGAAGTTGTGCAGTTGTACGTTTTTGCTTGGGAGCTCCCCCCACCCAACAGTGCAAAGCTTTGTGTTAATGACTCGAAGCCCGTATAACATCCCGTAACCAAAGTCTCGGACGCACAACTCAGGGTTGCCGTCGCAGTCCTCCCCGTGGAAAAGCATGCAAAAACCCGAAAGCAACAGCCCCAGTGGCTGAGTCCTCCAAGCTTTCTGCAGCCCAGCGCGTCTCTGTCCGCCTCAATAAAGCCAATGATCATAACTGGTAACCTAAACTCAGTTAGTGAAGCTTGGAAACTTGCAGGTGCACCGACAGTCAAACCAAATCTCTACACTTACCGCCTGTCGGGCGGCCAGCTCCCGAGCACACGATCTACGCGTAAAATCAGCAAGCTGCAAACCAACAGACGTTGTGATAGAGCTTAAACTCGCTCGCTGTTCAGAGCCAGGGCTCCGAGCCTCAGAAAGCTTCAAACCACAGCTTTCAGTAGAAAGTTTGACCATTCTGCACTCCCCGATCCAACTTCTCAACCCTCATATGAAGCAAGTGCCGAATACCACTCCAGCATGAAACCAACATGCTTCATACTGTACACAACTAAGCTTGCAACGCCGCCGTTGCCATCAAGCAAGTTTACACCCCAAACACTAGCTCCAAACTCCCAGGAAAAAAGCCAATGCTCTCATGCTGAACAATCAACCCCGGAGCAGGACTAGCGACTGCACCATCGGTTCTTTTTGCGCGTGATCTAATTACTATACAGGGAGTTCTGTGCAGGGGCCAAGGATGCTGGAAAAACGGTTAGGGGTTTTCGAGCTGTCAATGCGGCAAGGCTTTGCTGCGGCGGCCAACCGAATCACTGAGATAGCGTACGCCACCCAGTTCACATCGTGTCCCACCTTGTCGCCGCAGAATCAAACCGCACACGAAACTGTTGCACACTTACTTCTTGGCTGGCTTCATGGCTACCTCGCTGGAAGTACAGGACTGGACCAGTCCAGCCAGCACCAAAATGCAATGAACAGAAAGCGTGATATTTTCAAACGTATGGAAGTACTGCGCGGCTTCTCCCTCGAATTCAAGACCCTTGACTCATTGCAATAAGTCGCGCACAGTCTCTATCCAATAATGAAGTTCAGAGATCCAGGTTGGGAGTTTGGGCCTTTGCAGAGGCCGAAGCAGTGGAACAGGTTCACGCCCAGGAATCATGCTGCAATCATGAGACAACCGAATTACATGAATCGCGATTGTCCCGCTTCACTATCGGTATCAAGCGTTTGTGAATATGGCGTCCATTAACAACTTCAAAGCTTCGGGTTGACAGCCTTCGCCCAGAGGTGTCACTGTTGCTGTCATTGCTGCTGCCGCTGGTACTCTGCAAATACAAGTTTGTGGGCATCCAGATTTTGGGTATTCATGTTCGAGCAAGGCTCAGCTGTACACCACGATGTTGGCAAGCCCTGCAGCCCGGTATGTTTTCTCTGGCTCGGATCTTCCGGGCACCCGTGCTTGCCGCAGTACGGCGACGACATCCTCAAGTCCACTAGATGCCTGCCGTACTTTAGCTCCGGGCTCAGGGGCTTCAGCGCGTGGCTTTGCAGGGTGGCTTCGAGCAGGGGTCGAGTCGAGGACCCACGCCTTAAACTCTGAACGTTAATCCCTACCCTGTAGGCTCGCATCCTCCAAGAAACCTGGCATCCACCGGCCATCCGTGGCCTACGGCCTGCTGGTAAAACTCCGCTTCGGACTAAAGGTCTAGGGGCCAAGCTGGGGAAACTTTCATGAGTTTTGGGGTCTTCTGTTTGAGCGTCTTTGATGGGAGCACCCTGAACGCTAGACTGCTCACAAAAAAAACATGGAATCGTCGCAAGCATGTGACGTCCTGAAGTGCAGAAGCCCCTTTCGCCAAGTTTATATGAAGTTTCAGCCTCTGCAGAGCTGATTAAGACATCGGCCAGCAGTTCCTGTGTTGAATTTCGCTTCATCGCAGCTTCATCCGCACAATGGCGCTGGAAGGCTTGTTTGGGGAATGATGTAGCAATGTAGCTTGCGTCTTGCTTGCCTACCTGACCATGCAGAATTCAGAAGCCCCGTGGCCTGTACAGCGTGCCAGCTGTCGGTTATGGAAACACCAATGTCCCAAGTGTAAGGATCAATGCTGGGAGCCTTGACTTGCCCAATCGCCCCAACCCTAAAAAAAACCTGAGGGATGTATTTGACCAGGACTGGAAGCCGACTCCAGCATTTCACAGGCCACCTGGCTGAAGAGGACCGCGCAAATGTAGAACTCACTCTGAGCCGATGTCCCGAGCCCACACTGTCGCCTCAGGCTTAAAGTTCTCGGCAGCTTAAGGGCTCAGGCAATACGAGAAGTGCAAAGATTGGCTACGGGGAGAAATCGGGGTCGCAGGGTGTTTTGGTTTCAGTCTTTGAGGCCGCCTGGCGTTCGTCTGGCTGCGTAACGCTGTAGTCTGAGGATTCTGCACTTCGAACTGAAGCCAGGTTCTCCGTGCCGTGGCATTTGAGCTCATGTCACAGAGCTTGGACCGAAGGCGTCGTATACGCTCAAAACGAAGTCCACAGTTGAAATGCAGTTCATCGTGTCGGAAAAACATCCTTGTTCTGGGGTGGCATGGGCAGCAAGAGGATGAGATTTTGGCAGTTCGTGGCATGACAATGGGGTTTGTCAGTCCGTGCCGTGGCTGCATTAATCACAAAATCTAAGCAATGCAGTTCAAGTCCTCGACAGCAAGTTGTGGATCCTCTGGAGCTGCAAAACCACAAGCATGATCAAAATAGAAATGAAACTTGTGAATCCCTTCACTCAGCTCAAGGGGCACCAGTTCCTGCGGCGCGCCGAAGATCAATCGCCTCGCAGTGGGCGTGTGTTGGGTTTACGACTTCTATAGGGGTTGAGTAGATTCTAGTCTAGAGTCTTATATATCGAGTTAAGGCAGCCAGGCCGTGGAGTAGAGTTGGGGTCTGGCTTGCGTTTTGTGGTTTGCAATTGGGGGCCGCACAAAGCAGATGCTAGGCGTTCAGCTTTCAGCTTCAAAAATTCAAGGCCACCTGTGGCTGCATGGTGTGCGCGAAAGTTTGGTGGTTTAGGAGCTTCAGGAATTCTATTTTCGATCTTGGGTTTTGGTGTTTTGATTCTAGTGTTCAGAAACTAAACTTGCACACTGAAACGTTCGGCAAGAACTGATATCTGATGTGTTTATCCGCCAGTCCTCACAAATCTTGGCAGCGTTCAACCCACGCCTTCGGAATACAGCACATGCTGAGCACGAAGAGGGTCGGGAGTTGAGGGGTGCAGGAAAGACGACCTGCAGAGGAGACCTTTCAAGGTTCGGTGCTGCCCTGCGTGATGCCCTGAAAAACCAATGATGGGTGCAGTGCGACTGGGTCTGGCCAACATCTTGGTTTCAGAGACCTCGAGACTTCGAGATACAGTACATGAAATAGTGTCCTGCACTTTACTGCGATCAAAGGTAAGTTGCCGCCCTACACACGCACTCCCAATCCCGCACTCTTCATTGCGGAAGTCCGATCAAAAACTCAACGAATCAATGAAGTCACGCGCCTCGACGCGGCCAGAATCCGTGCCGAGGAAGGAAGAAGAAATCGCCGAGACGTCTGTGCCGCAGTTGAAACATTTGAAAACTCATTGGGAACACGTCATCCGCCAGTTCCAACTTCCGAACAAAAACGCCGAAAGCAATTCAACCGAACACATCTGGCAGCTGGCAACACAAACAGTGCCAGCAACCACACACACAAAGACAACATCCAAACAAACACACACACACATGGAGTTTTAGTGTCGCTTAAGTTAGAAAGTAATCAACAACATGCGAAAGACAACGCACACTGCAAACACTGAAGATTTGATCGATTGCAGGCTTTTCTTTTTGCCTAATCTGGTGCTGGTTCTGTTTTGTGGTAGATCCCTGGAGCAGCTACCAACACCCTATGAATTGAGGCGTGTGGCAACAAGATCAAGATGCATAAGCACAGCAGCAACAGTTGAAAGCACACTAACGAAGAAGCTACCACGACAAACTCTGACTGCAAAGCGAAGCAGAAAACCACACTGCAAGGACACCGTATTCAACTACATCAAAGCACACTGTCTATAAGACTGTAAGCAGTTCAGAGTGCACATGTCTCCCCTGGTGTGACTACCTCTTCATGACGTTCCAATTTGTATGGTCACACCACAATCCTTACACAATGCCACGTCTATGATGGCTACCTCCGCTATGCGTCAGTGTGCTGCACATACAACAGGTGGAGGACTGGCGCACCATGATGTTCCGGCATGCATGATCCGGCCGCAATCCTCCTCCTCGCGCTCCCAACTTGGGCTCATTACAGGCAAAGGTCCGGAACATCATGACGGTTCCACAATGCATAGTCAAGTCGCAATCCTCCTCCTCAGCATCCCCATCTGGGCTCACTATCCGAGGAGGTCAGGCGCATCATATTGCTCAAATTTGTATCGTAAGACCACAATACTCGTACAACGCATCGTCTGTGACAATTGCAGTATCCACTTTGCATCGGTGCGATATTGCCGCCGCAGTTGCCACTATCACGTCCCTTGATGATGTGCCCACTTGTTCTCTTCGACCAGCTCCATCAGCTTACGATCCGAAGGATGATGTCCCACTATGTCTGTGATCAGGACCCGTGTTTACACCGGTGCTGCGGCCCCAATGTGGCACAACAGTGGCCACGCCCTTGGACCACCGATCCTATTCTGCTTTCTCGATCGTCCGGCGTGGAAAATCATTGCGGATCTCAGCTTGGCTCGCTTTCTGCTCCAATGTGGCTTTTAGGTGGTCGATGTTATTGAGTGGAACCTTCTAGTGTATTTGCAGCAAAACTCGTGTCATGATTCTATAAGGCGGAGAACAGCTATATGGTTCCGTGTCGCTTGTCGGTACACTCCGCCCCCCCCCCCCCCCCCCC